ACAGTTTTCTGTTTTTTACTCCCATCCCAGCCCACCCACCACTTTTATAGATTTTTAAAAACCAAGATCCAATTAAGATCTAAGCATTGCATTTAGTTGTCTCTTTAGTATCTTTCTTTAAAATTATTTAAAATTTTTCATTTACAGCCCTGGCTGGTGTAGCTCAGTGGATTGAGCACAGGCCTGCGAACCAGACAATCGAGGTTCGATTCCCAGTCAGGGCACATGCCTGGGTTGCAGGCCAGTTCTCTGCAGGAGACGCACAAAAAGGCAACCATACATTGATGTTTCTCTCCCTCTCTCCTTCCCTTCCCCTCTAAAGATAAATAAGTAAAATCTTTAAAAAAAATTTTTTTCATTTACAGTTGACATACTTTATCATATTAGTTTCAGGTGTACACCCCATTGATTAGACATTACATAATTTACTAGGTGATCAGCCTGATAAGTCTCGCACCCTTCTGACACTATACAGAATTATTAGAATATGATTGACCATACCCCTGTGTTGTACTTTACATCCCCTTGATGACTATTCTGTCACAACCAGTTTGTACTTATTCCCTTCATTTTTTTCACCTATTCCCCCAACTCTTATCTGGCAACCATCAAAATATTTTCTGTATCTATGAGTTTGTTTCTGTTCTGCTTGTTCATTTACTTTTTAAAAAAGTTTTTACTTATTTATCTTTAGAGGGGAAGGGAAGGAGAGAGGGAGAGACACATCAATGTATGGTTGGTTGCCTCTCGTGCATCCCCTGCTGGGAACTGGCCTGCAACCCAGGCATGTGCCCTGACTGGGAAATGAACTGCAATCCTTTGGTTTGCAGGCCTGTGCTCAATCCACTGAGCTACACCAGCCAGAGCTCATTTACTTTTTTAGATTTTTTGTTGTTATGTATTTTTTGCCATTTTGTTGTTCATATTTTTTAGTTTTATTTTTTCTTCTTCCTAAAGAAGACCCTTTAACAGTTCATATAATACTGGTTTTGGTGTTGAACTCTTTTAGCTTTTTCTTGCCTGGGAAGCTCTTTATCTGCCCATTGATTTTTAAATGATAGCTTTGCTGGGTAGAGTAATATTGGTTGTAGGCCCTTCCTTTTCATCACTTTGAATATTTCTTACCAACCCTTTCTGGCCAGCAAAGTTTCCGTTGAGAAGTCAACTGATAGTTGTATGGGAACTCCGTTGTAGGTAACTAACTGCTTTCTTTTGCTACTTTTAAGATTCTCCATCTTTCACCTTTTGCATTTTAACCACGATATTTTCATGTGGGTCTCTTTGGGTTTATCTTGTTTGGAACTCTCTGCACATCCTGGACTTATATCTCTATTATTTTCATCAAGTTAGGGAAGTTTTCTGTGGTTGTATTTTCAAATAGATTGTCAATTTCTTCCTATCTTCTCCTTCTGGCACCCCATGATGCAAATGTTGATATGCTTGAAGTTGTCCTAGAGGTTCCTTACACTACCCTCCTTTTTGGGGGATTCTTTTTCTTTTTGCTCTTCTGATTTGGTGTTTTTGCTTCCTTATATTCCAATTGCTAATTTTTTTTAGTTAAATTGATGCCCTGACATCAATTGGTTTTATTCATATTATAAAGAAACAATTGGGACAACTGTAATAGAATAACCAATAAATATGAAACCAAATTGCTGATTTGATTCTCAGCTTCGTCTACTCTGATTTTCCTATAAATTATTCATTTGTGATTGATCATTTTTCATGCTGAAGTTCTGAGTTCATTGAGCATCCTTAAAACCAGTGTTTTTAACTCTGCATCTATTTGCTTGTCTTCATTTTGTTTAGTTCTTTTTCTGGAGTTTTGTTCTGTTCCTTCATTTGGACACGTTTCCTTGTCTCCTCACTTGGCAGCCTCCCTGTGTTTGTTTCTGTGTATTAGGTTGAGCTGCTACATCTCCTGGGCTTGGTAAGGCCTAATGTAGTAGGTGTTTTGTAGGGTCCAGTGGCACAGCCTCCCCTGTTACCCAAGCTGGACTCTTGAGATGTGCCCCTTGTCAGCTGTGTACACCCTCCTCTTGTAGTTCAGCTTTGAGTGCTCTTGGCACATCAGTGGGAGAGATTTATGTCCAGGCGGATCAGCTATAGGGACTGGCTGTGACCACTGACCATTGACCTCTGACCACTATGGAGGATCAGCTGTGCAGGGGCCCCCTTAAAGTGCAGTACTTATTTCAACAGGGCTTTGGTGCCCAGTCCACCCCTGAGAGTGTCACTTGTGGAGGTGATTGGATGGTAGTACTTCAATGTGGTCTAAAGCTGTCCACTGGGTGTGCTGGCTCTGAGGCCTCCTAAGAGGTGCAAGCCAAGGTCAGCTGAGAGGGAAAGTGTGCACTAGGTCCTTTGTCTTGAGAGTTTCTAAGGGAGTTCTGAGGAGAAGATCTCAATAGAATGTTCATCAGCTTTATGCTGGTGCACCAAAATGAGATTTATCTCTTTGACTTGGTGTGTGGTTGGCACAAATGGCACTAATTGGATTTCTGTTATCTATCTCCCTGAGTAGACTGATTTAAGCTATTTACCCTTCAGTTGGGGAGGAGAAATATACGGGAGGAGAAGTATAAACCATTTACTCTTAGAAGTCCATAGTTAGGGGAGGTTTATGGCTGTAAACTGCTTGGCAGTTTAACTATGTGTTCAGTTTCCCTGTACCACTTGTTCTGGTTTACTAGCCTCTTTCAAAACCAGTCTTGAGGTAGCTTCTAGAATTCTCTAGTTGTAGGACTTCCATTCAGCCAGATTTTAGGTAGTTCTAAATAATGGTTGTTCTGTAGTTGAGTTATAATTTTGATGTGGTTTTAGGAGGAGGTAAATATCATTTACCTATGTTGCCATCTTGACCAGAAGCCTCTTTGATCTTTTTATCTTACAACAGTTCATTTTTTTTTTAAAGATTTTTATTTATTTATTTTTTAGAGGGGAAGGGAAGGGGAGACAGAGAGAAACATCAATGTATAGTTGCCTCTCGTGCATCCCCTGCTGGGAACTGGCCCGCAACCCAAGCATGTGCCCTGACTGGGAATTGAACTGGGAATTGAACTGCAATCCTTTGGTTCTCAGGCCCTCGCTCAATCCACTGAGCTACACCAGCCAGGGCATCATTTCTATTTGTTTTATAATGACGTCAACTTTTTGAAGAGATGAGGCCAGTTACAACCTGGATTTTTTTAGGGTAAATTATAATTTCTTCAATAAATAATTTTGTAACTTTTAAAAAACTAGTACCTTAGCACAAAAACATAATTGGGAACCACTAATCTAAGGACTATTTGATAGAGTGATCAATCATTCCATATTGCCCAGGACTGAGGTGGCTCCCAGAAAATGAAGGACTTTCAGTGATACAACCAGGAAAGCCCTAGGCAAACTAGGATCACTGACTGGTCACCCTTGGAGTGCTCTCATTAATGCTGAGGAAATAGTTATATATAAATGACTGATTAAAACCATAGCCTGGCTCTGCCCATTTTCATTATATCAAATAATTATTTATATACTTACACTTTTAAACTAAATAGTCTGAACTGTCCATTAATTGTGCACATAGATATAAGATACATTCTTGGGAAAATATTGTGACTAAAATTCCATTTCTTAGTCCTCAAACTTAAAAAAAGTAATAATATAGGAACATTGTGTATAAGCCTTCTATTACTTAATGTTACATAATGGTTAAAATCATACCCTAAACTGACAACCACGGCAGTATATGACTGCATAGAGACAACACCAGGGCAGGTGAGAGTCTGCCAGGCACTGGGTGACTTTGTGCCTCACTGTGGGAAGAAAAACTAAACATGGACAAAGAACACCCTAAGAAGCTGAGAAGCAGAATGTCATTGTATGCACTCTTTTTGCAAATGTGCTGGGATGAACACATTTGTGCTGGGAGGAACAAGGAAAAGTACCCAGATACTTCAGTCACTTTGTCAGAGTTTTCAAAAAAGAGCTGAGTGAAAGACTATGTCTGCTAGAGAAAGGAAGATGTATCAAAGAACATCCAGGTTATCCATTGGTGATGCTGCAAAGAAGCTGGGAGAGATGTGAAATAACACTGCAGCAGACCACAGCAATGTTCATCAGGTTGTTAAACTGAAGGAAAAATTTGAAAAATACATTCTTGCATAAAGCTATGTAGCAACAAAGGGAGTCATCAAGGCAAAAAAAAAAAAAGCAAGAAAAAGGAAAAGAAGATGAAGAGGAAATGAGAGATGATAATAAATAAGTTGGTTCTAGTTTTTTTGTTCTATATAAAGCATTTAACCTCTCTGTATACAACTCAGTCCTTCTAAAGAAAAAAACATGAAATGTAAGACTAAGCAAGACTTGTATTTAAACTGTATTCTTTTTTTTTTTTTTTTTTATAATTAACATACTACCAAATGTGTTAAATGCCAGCTAGTCCTGGTACACTACAGGGGTTGTAAATTGGCATAGAAGTTTAAAGTGAGTTCCCATTGGTACATAGTACAAATTAGTTACCTATATATAAGGTTGATTTTTCACCTTCCTTTGTCTCTGATGTACCATCTGTGAATTAATTGCTATTCTGTTAATTGGATACCACTTTGTAATCCCTCCAAAAAAGTTGCAGTTAGTTTGTTGACATTCTAAATGCCTCTGAATAAATACAATTTTCTTATTAGAAAAAAAAATCAGCCCTGGCAAATGACTCAATTGGTTGAAGCATTATCCTATACACCAAAATGTCATGGGTTTGATTCCAGGTCAGGGTGCATACCCAGTTTGTGGGTTGGAACCCTGGTCGGGTGCATTATGTGAGGCAACCAATCAATGTTTCTCTCTCTCCCTTCTTCTCTCTCTGAAATCAATGGACATATTCGCAGGTGAGAATTAAAAAAAAAAATCTAAACCTGTATTTTACCTTAGTGTTATCTGCTGCAAAAAATGCAATTATTCTTTTAAATATTATGTTTAAAATATAATTTATTTCACATGTAGTTACTTAAGCCCTTAGAAATTGTGATTTTTATTTTATTTTTATTTATTTGTTTGTTTGTTTATTTGGTAGAAGCATGCCTTTTCCAGTGAGATTGTGCATGATTTGTTCTTTGGAGGACTTTAATGAGGTTCTTCTGCAAATGGGTGGTGACAAAGTTTAGGTTTGTTGGGATTATTTTCCAGCAGCCAATTGGCTAGCCAAATCTATGGAAAAAAGAAAAAAAAACCCTTAACTTAATAAACATTTAAATATTTTCTTCAATATATAGTATCTCAATTTAAAACTTAAACAGTTTTCAAAATCACTTTAAGAATAATGAAAAAGTGACCATTAAAAATAGAGACACTAAGTTTTACAGTATATAAGACTGTCAAGTATAGGCCCTTACTGGAAAGCAATAAGTAAAACCATGTCCATTCACAGATGACACGATCCCACATATAAAAAATCCCAAAGAATCCACAAGCTACTAAAGCTAATAAATGAATTTTGCAAAGTTACAGGTTACAAAATCAACACAAAAAAATCAGTTACTTCTATTCATTGGCAATGAATCCAAACTGGAAATTAAGAACACACTTTTACCCTGGCTAGGTAGCTCAGTTGGTTGGAGTATCGTCCTGATATGCCAAGGTTGCAGGTTTGATCCCTGGTCAGGGCACGTAACAGGAATCAACCAATAAATGCAAAAATGAGTGGGACAACAAATCAATGTTTCTCTTGCTCTCTTTCTATAAATCAATGGATCAATTTTAAAAATTAAAAAATTTCAAAACAGAAATCACTTTTAATGGCACTAAAAAACAATTATCTAGGAATAGGCTTAACTAACTTGTATAACTGAAAACTATAAAACATTGCTGAAAGAAATTTAAAGACCGAAATAAATAAAAACATCCTGAGTTAATGTATAGTGAGACTTAGTACTGTTAAGATGTTAAGATATCAATACTACCCAAAGTAATATGCACATTGAACACAATTCCTATCAAATTTCCAACAGTCATTTTTGAAGAAATGAAAAAGTCAACCCTCAAATTAATAAAGAATTTCAAGGGGCTCTCAATAGCCAAAACAATTACAAAAAATAATAAAGTTGGAGGACCTTCTAACTTTTTTCTTCCCAATTTCAAAATTTTCTACAAAGCTATAGCAATCCAAAGAGTGTGGTTCTGGCATATAGACAGACCTACAGATTAATGGAATACAGATATACATATAGACAGACATACAGAACTGAGAGTCCAAAAATAAATGCTGTCAGGTATACAAAAATTAATTCAAAATGGATCAATGGAAATATAAGAGCTAAAACCATTAAAATCTTAAAACACAGGAATAATCCTTATGACCTTGGATTTGGCAATGGATTTTTTTTTTGTAGCCCAAGAAAAATATTTATTTTCCAATTTTTGGGGTCTCTACAAATTCCTTGTTAACAATGTTGAAGCAGTCTGCTTTTGTAATTTAAACAAACAAACAAAAAACCCTCAAAATTCTCTCCTAGGATAAATCTGATGACATAAGGATAATACTAAGTAAATGCACAAATGCCAAAAGATGCGAAATTAACTGAAATGTTCATCCTTCCTGAAATTTCTCTGAAAACAGCAGAGTAGAATCAATGCTGCCACCTAGTGACAAGCCAAACAAATCAGGTAGCATCCTGGAACAAAAAGGGGTCCTCTGGCCCAACATCTGGTTCCCCAACTATTATCAGGCTATTTATTACCTACCTTCCTAAAAAGAAAAAAAAAAAAAGAGAAAAATCACAGCAACATTTCCCAAGCAATCTCTCCTCCAGAGTACCAGTCCAATCATGGAAATACAGAAACCTAACCATGGCCTGTGACACAGACAACTTCACATGAAACTTCCCTCTGACAATTTTTAAGGTCATTTTGCCCAGTCATATAGCCTAGTAGGGATGATACAGGAAAATGCAGACACATCCAAAACGCTCATCTGTTCAGAGTGTATACAAGTGATTCTGATATCTGTTTCGTCAAACACCTCTTCAATTATTGCAGATACATTTTCCCATTTCAGACGATCAAGACCACACCCAATCCTGGGCATGGAAAGATCCGTGACTCCATTCTTCAGACAATGGGACTTCATGGCCTCTAAACTCTTCGGTAAGTTTTCATAAGTTGGCTTGTTGTGTGAAGCCCTTTTCTTTGTAATCAAGTAATATATATATCACCCATCTCTTTCCAGAACAGCCACTTCTCCAGATTTCTTTTGTTGATTTACCAGTTCCTGCACCCCTCCAAATTTCTTCTTAAAGAGTATAGCTATCCCAGCACCCATTCAACAATCCTCACTGATACAGTGGGCCAAAGAGTCTGTTCGTTACTTTACTGTTCATAATTTTGATCTTTTTTCTTAAATAAGTCCCTTTAACATTTGATATAACAAGGGCTTGGTGATGATGAACTCCTTGAACTTGACCTTATCTGAGAAGCACTTTATCTGCCCTTCCATTCTAAATGATAGCTTTGCTGGATACAGTAGTCTTAGATGTAGATCCTTGCCTTTCATGACTTGGAATACTTCTTTTAAGCCCCTTGTTGCCTGTAAGGTTTCTTTTGAGAAATCCACCAATAATCTTAGGGGAACTCCTTTATAGGTAACTGTCTCCTTTTCTCTTGCTACTTTAAGATTCTCTCCTCTTTAATGTTGGGTAATGTAATTATGATGTGCCATGCTGTGTGCTTCCTTGGGTCCAACTTCTTTGGGACTCTCTGAGTTTCCTAGACTTTCTGGAAGTCTATTTCCTTTGCCAAATTGGGGAAGTTCTCCATCATTATTATTTCGAAGAAGTTTTCAATTTCTTACCCTTTTTCTTCTCCTTCTGGCACCCCTATGATTTGGATGTTGGAATGTTTAAAGTTGTCCCAGAGGTTCCTAAGCCTCTCCTTGTTTTTTTGAAATTCTTGTTTCTTCACCCTGTTCTGGTTGAATGTTTATTTCTCCCTTCCACTCCAAATTGTTGATCTGTGTCAGCTTCCTTCCCTTCACTGTTGGTTCCTGGTATATCTTTCTTTATATCACTTCATATAGCCTTCACTTTTTTCCTCTCTTTTGTGGCCATACTCAACCATTTCTGTGAACATCCTGATTACCAGTATTTTGAACTATGCATCTGATAGGTTGACTAGCTCCTTGTCACTTAGTATTTTTCTGGAGTTTTGATTTGTCCTTTCTTTTGGGCCATATTTCTTTGTCTCAGCACACCTGTTACACTGTAAGGGGCGGAGCCTTAGGTATTCTCCAGGGCTGAGCAACCCACCTCCACATTATGGCGCTCTATGTGGAGGAGGGGTCCTACAGCCAAGAATGCTGCTTGTTCAGCTCTCCACCAGCTTTCAGTCACTTCCCCTGCTACCCACAAGCAAATTGGGCCCTTCTGGTGCTGATTCTTAGGTGGGTGGGTTTGTGTACATTCTAGGGCCCTGTAGGTCTCTCCAGCAAACTCTCCTATGAGGCTGGGAGTTTCTCCCACCACTGCAATCCCCACAGGTTTTTAAGCCAGAGGTTTTGAGGCTTTAGTTTCCTATGCTAGAACCCTGAGTTGCATGGTAATTTGAACAGACATTTCTCCAAAGAAAATATACATATAGCCAATAAACACATGAACAGATGCTCTACGTCATTAGTCATTAGAGAAATGCAAACCAAAACCACACTGATGCTCTGGTCAGATGATTTGGTTGGAATGTGGGACCATCCAACTATGGGAGGCAACTGATGATTGTCTCTCCCCATCTCTCTTTCCCACTTCCTCCCTCGCTCCCCCTGACTGGTGTGGCTCAGTGGATTGAGTGCTGGCCTGTGAACTGAGAGGTCATTGGCTCGATTCCCAGTCAGGGCATATGGCTGGGTTGCAGGCTGTTTCCCTAGCTGGGGCCATGCCAGAGGCAACTGATTGATGTATCTGTCACATACTGGATGTTTTTCTCCCTCACTTCCTCCCTCCTTTCCCCTCTCTCTAAAAATAAAGAAATAAAATCTTTAAAAAATTAAATTAGATTAAAAGACATACCCTCAAGTGAAGATTAAAAAAAAACAGGATGTGGAGAAATTGGAACTCTCATACATTGCTAGTAGGAATACAAAAAGCAGTCACTGTACAGAACTGTTTGGTGGTTCCTCGGAAAGCTACCACAGAACATGACCCAACAATTCCACTGTTAGGTATAGCCCACAGAACTGAAAACAGGTATTTATTTTATTTTTATTTATTTATTTTTTAGAGAGAAGGGAAGTAAAGGAGAAGGAGAGAGAGGAAAACATCAATATGTGGTCACCCTCATATGCCCCCAACTGGGGAACCCAGCCTGCAACCCAGGCGTGTGCCCTGACTGGGAATCAAACTGGCAACCCTTTGGTTCTTAGGCCCATGCTCAATCCACTGAGCTACACCAGCTAGGGCTGAAAATAGATTAGTTGTACACCAATGTTCACACAACATAAAGCACAACAGTCAAAAGGCAGAAGCAACACAAGTACCTATCAACAGATTAATGAACAAATATGATATATACATACATGGAATATTATTCAGTCATAAAAGAAATGAAATTCTAATACCTGCTACAACATGAGTGGACTTTGAAAACATTATGCTAAGTGAAATAAGCCAGATATAAAACAACAAATATTCTATAATTTCACTTACATGAAATATACAGCAATTAGATTACTAGGGCCTAGAGGAAGGAGGTAATGGGGAGTTATTGCTTAATGGTTACAGAGATTCTATTTGGGGTATGAAAAAATTCTGAAAATAGGTAGTGATGATGGTTGTACAACACTGTGATTATAATTAATGTCCCTGAACTATAATATACACTTAAAAATGATTAAAATGGCAAATTTTATGTCATATAGATTTCCTACAAAAAAAAAACTAGAAAAAAGATTGAGTATATACAAAAGTATTAAAATAACATTATTTTGCATAGTCAACATACAATTATTTATTGTGATACTGTTGTTAAACACACAGATCCATGTAACAGAATATATGCTCGGGTAGAGAATCTCATATTAGTAAGTAAGGCTTCATAAGTCAATATACAAGGAGAAATGGTCAGAAAAAAATCAATTTAGATCTTCATCTTGCATTATATACAAAAATAAATTCCAGATGCATGGGAATTTAAATATTTTTAAAATTTTTATTTATTTATTTTTAGACAGAGGGGAAGGGAGGGAGAAAGAGAGACACATCAATGTGTGGTTGCCTCTCACGCACCCTCTACTGGGGACCTGGTCTGCAACCCAGGCATGTGCCCTGACTGGGAATCAAACTGTTGACTCTGATTCACAGGCCGGTGCTCAATCCACTGAGCCATACCAGCCAGGGCCAGGGAAGTTAAATATTTTTAAAATCTAGGAAAAAAGTTATATTTAGCAAAACTTTCAATGGGATAGGACTTTCTTAACTTAGATGGTAAATGAAAACCAACAATAAGGAAAAAAAATCGAGGTTTGACTTATAGAATATTATTTAAAAGGCAAAATTAAAAGTTAAACAAAAAAATAATTGCAGCAAATATGATCAAAGGTTGATATAACTAATATATCATTGTTATTTCAATGATATACCATTGTTACAAAACTCCCAAGATAAGTGAACAAAAGATAAACAGATAATTCACAAAGGTGAAAATACAACCAAACATAAGGAAAAATAGTTTAACCTTACCAGTAATATACACGTGGAGGTTAACACTATTAAAATATCATCTTTCTTTGCCTATTTTGCCTGCTACCTAATCAGTCCCACTCCCACTCCAGTGTTTTGTTTTTTTCTTCCAACCAAATTCATAATAAAATTCTATATACAAAGTCAGCTGGACCTATATAGCTACAAAACAGGAACTTTTCTTACTAATATTTTGATAAGTCAGTCCCTAGGATGTCAAAAAAACTTACCCTAAAATTAATACAAAAGTGTCCAAAGCACCTTCAGTGAATACCTAACTATGGAAACTTTAATACTATGTGAGATAATCAACACGGATAAGCCTGAGTCCCTTAGACAGGCTGCTAGAGAACTGGGATGAGATGTCAAAAGGCCATTCTGTGCACTGACACTGATGCTATCATGTTTCCAGATTATAATATTCCTAGTACCTGATTCTAGACACACCATAAGAATATCAGTAGGGTCAATTTTGTTTGTGAGGCTATCTAATAACTTACTATATATTAAGTAAATAAGGTAAAAAATTTTAAATACAGTAGTGTGTTTAGGAGTTAGCATTTGAATAAATAAGTATTGTTGTTTCTTAAAGATTTTATTCATTTATTTTTAGAGAGAGAGGAAGGGAAGGAGGAAAAGGGGGAGAGAAACATCAATCTGTGGTCACCTGTAGCGTACCCCATACTGGGGACATGGCCTGCAACCCAGGCATGTTCCCTGACTGGGAATCAAACCACCAATACTTTGGTTTGCAGGCCCGCACTGAATCCACTGAGCCACACCAGCCAGGGCCTTGAATGTATATGTATTTTTAAGTACATACAGATAATGTGCTCATACAGGGGCCGGCAAAGGTAGGTTTACAGTTGTGAGTAAGTAAAACTTGGAATTTATTCTTGTATTCAATATGATGAATTTTTACATATGAACGACTATAAACCCACTTTTGCCCACCCTGTATATACATAAGGTTTTCTCATACACGTTGTACTAGAGGATGGTCACAGTGATTTATTCCAAAGAGTACAGTTGGGTGAATGGCAGGGAGAGTTGCTTTTCATTATACAGGATCTGGCACAAATAACAGCCCTTATTTATTACAAATAATAAACATGTAATTCTGTAACATAACAATATCACACTCAAGCACAACATATGACATTTTAGGTGAAATGTTCAAATTAAAGCTATAAATTATTACACCCACATTATTACCCTACCAACCACACTCAAGCAGGTATTATTTCTGCTGGACCCTGTATATTCTTTTGTGACTTTTGAATTATACTCTGTTTTGGTAGGGCTGTTACTAAAAGAATTTTCCCTGATTATCTCTGAGTCTTCAAATGGGTAAGAGAACCCGCAAAGAAGGGCCCAGGATAACATTTGGCCCTGGACAACCATCTTAGTTCCCACTACCCGATCATTCTCTCCATGACTAAGCAATGTTGAGGCATCTAGAGGTGCCAATAAATATAAGTTTTCAATTTTTAAAATTTCGGTATCATAAGAAACAAAAATATGAACAAAATTTAACTATATGTATATACACTTTTATCACTTGATTATATAAATTATACATGAAACAATACTAGCAACTGAAAGTATGCGAGTATTTAGGAATGATGTGCTTATAGAGTCAAAACAGCAAGAAAATAAGTAATCAAAAATTATACATACAGGGGACTTCCGCCAAGATGGAGACGTAGGTGGAGGAACCACCTTGCCTCTGTGCACAACCAAATCTAAGAACAACTATTTTTAACAACAATCACAACCAAGCCACACGGAAAATCGACAATACGGAGTCCAAAGACAATGAAATACTCAGCTAAACCGGTAAGAGAAGCGAAGCCAGCAGTGGAGCAGGTTAGCAAGAAAAAATTCCCGGGTGGTGCGCGGTGCCCAAACAGCCGAAGGCGCTGATCGCGAGCTAGCTTCGGGAGCGCACAGGGAAGAGGCGCGGCAGGCTGTCTCGGTTGGTTGCGCATCTGCGCATCTGCGTGGGGAGAAACCAGTGAGAAGGGAAGCCTGCGCGGGGCGGTAGGCTCGCACAATTCCGATTGGATAAACAAGCCCGGCGCGAGTGGTGTGACTGGACGGGCTGGGCTAGCGGAGAGGACCGCCATTGCTCCCTCTCTGACCACGCCCCCACACACAGTCACAAACCAGCGACCCAGGTTGCCCCGTCCTGGTGAACAACTAAGGCTTCGCTCCGCTTACTTAACAGCATGAATAGACCAAAAATGGCTCTAGGACAACTCAGAGCCCCAGAACCGATAGATCTAAGCGATGAAGAAATAGCCAGCCTTTCAGATGCACAGTTCAAAACACTGGTTATCAGGATCCTTACAGAACTGGTTGATTTTAGTCACAAATTAGAGAAACATATGGAAGCTAAACTAATTGAAATGAATGGTAATACAAAGGAAACCAATAGTAATGGAAAGAAAATTGGGACTCAAATCAAGGGAGTGGACCACAAGGAAGAAAAAAATGATCAAACAGAAAAGAATGAAGAAATAAGAATTCAGAAAAATGAGGAGAAGCTTAGGAACCTCCAGGACATCTTTAAACGTTCCAACATCCGAATTATAGGGGTACCAGAAGGGGGAAAGGCACAGCCACCAGTGGAAAACTTATTTGAACAAATAATAAAGGAAAATTTCCCCAATCTGGCAAAGGAAATAGACTTCCAGGAAATCCAGGAAGCTCAGAGAGTCCCAAAGAAGTTGGACCCAAGAAGGAACACACCAAGGCACATCATCATTACATTAGCCAAGATGAAAATGAAGGAGAGAATCCTAGAAGCAGCAAGAGATAAGGGGATAGTCACCTACAAAGGAGTTCCTATCAGACTGTCAGCTGATTTCTCAAAAGAGACCTTACAGGCAAGAAGGGGCTGGAAAGAGGTATTCCAAGTCATGAAATCCAAAGACCTACAACCAAGATTGCTCTACCCAGCAAAGTTTTCATTTAGAGTGGAAGGACAGATAAGGTGCTTCTCAGGTAAGATCAAATTCAAGGAGTTCATCATCACCAAGCCCTTATTATATGAAATGTTAAAGGGACTTACCTAAGAAAAAGAAGATAAAAAAGATGAATAGTGAAAGGACAGCAAACTCACAGTTATCAACAACCACACCTAAAACAAAAGCAAACTAAGAGGACAGCTAGATCAGGAGCAGAACCATAGAAATGAAGATCTCATGGAGGGTTAGCAACAGGGGAGTGGGAGGAGGAGAAGGGGGGAGAAGATACAGAAAATAAGTAGCATAGACAGTAGATAGAAAATAGATAGGGGGAAGGGTAAGAATAGTAGGGGAAATACAGAATCTAAAGAATTTGAGACACGTGTTCATGAACTAAAGGGGGAAATGGTGGGGGAGGGGTATGCAGGGTGGAGGGGAATGGAGGGGGGGAATAGAGCAAATGTAATGGCATAATCAATTTAAAAAATATAAAAATAAAAATGAAAAAAAATTATACATACAGAAGTATCTAAACTGTATATGAAAGTTTTTTTAAATTTTATTTAGTTATTTTTCAAGTACAGTTTTTTGTCTATTTGTATATGAAAGTTTTTAAACATGATTCTTGATACTTACAATGTTTCAAAGCATGCAGTGTTTTAGATATGAAAACTATAGTCAATATTCTTTAGGGTGAATAAAAAGATATCTTACACAAGGATCTGCTGGTTTTTGCTTACAAAGCTCTGTGAGTCCTTTAAGCAGAGTTGGTGTTACATATAAATTTAAATAGTCCTTAGCAGCTTGACCAACCGGAATGGGCTCAACAATCACTGAAAACACAAATGTATTTCCATTAAAGGTAACATAAATTATGAGATACTATACAGTCATTAAAAAAGATACCTTCAAAAAAATTTTAATGACATGAGAAATAATTACAAAGTTTTTTAACGGACCAGAACTAGGTACATAGCATAACAGTTGGTTCGAAAACACACAAGCATATACATAAAAATATAAATAAATAAAACTACATCCTGGCTAGTGTGGCTCAGTAGATTGAGTGCTAGCCTGTGAACCAAAAGGTCACAGTTCAATTCCCTGTCAGGGTACGTACCTGGGTTGTGGGCCAGGTCCCCAGCTGGGGACATGTGAGAAGCAACAGATTGATGTTTTTCTCACACATTAATGTTTCTCTCCTCTTTCTCCCTCCCTTCCCCTCCCTCTGAAAATAATAAAATCTTAGAATAAATTAAACTATACAAGACTGTCAAGAAACATCAAAATGCTAACAGTAATCATTTATAAGATTCTTTTCAAAAATTTAAAAGAACTTAGTGTTTTTTTATTCTCAACTGAAGACATGCTTATTGATTTTAGAGAGAGGGGAAAGGAGAGAGGGAGTGAAACATCAATGTGAGAAAAATCAATTGGTTGCCTTTTTGTATACACCCCAACCAGGGACCAAACTAGCAGCCTAGGCGTGTGCCCTGACAGGGAACTGAAACTGCAACCTTTAGCTTTGCAGAACAATGCCTAACCAACTGAGCCACACTAATCAGGGCTCAACAAATTTGTTCAGGTTTTTAAAAATATATATTTTATTCATTTATTTTTAGAAACAGGGAAGGGAAGGAGAAAGAGAGGGAGAGAAACATCAATGTGTGGTTGCCTCTCACACGCCCCCAACTGGGGACTTTGCCCACAACCCAGGCCTGTGTCCTGACTGAGAATTGAACCAGTGACCCTTTGGTTCGCAGGCCAGCACTCAATTCACTGAGCCACATGAGCCAGTGCAAATTTGTTGAATGAATGGAATATAGCAAGGCTTTACCAGCCATCCTATTAGAAGGGAAATGGAAGAGTACTACCTTTTTGAAGAGATAGAAACATTTTTTAATATCTTTATAATTTGCTTTAGTCATTCATCATATAGACTTGCACACAGTTTTTGAGTGACTGCTAAACAACATGGAGCTCATATCACAAACTCTGAGAACTTACTCCGAAGGACTTCATATTCCCACAGCAAAAGATCTGCTGCTTCCCAAATGACTAACTATCTCTCTTAAATTCATGTCTATAGGATTAATTAATGACTAATAGAAAAGGCAATCTAAAATAAGGGTTTAGGGATGTAACCCTATGAGTAAGAAAAGCTTCCGAATATATCTTCTACTTAAGATAAAGTGAGTTTTTATACTATTTTAGTGAAGAGCTAAAGAGAAAAAGTCTAATTTACAAGTAGGACTAATCCTAAAGTACTACCACATTAAAAAATAAAGTCTCATGTTTTAGACATATTTCAAAATAATACAAAGCAAAAGAAATACAAGCAGGGGTTATAGATGAAGTAAGATGAGCCACAACTGTTGAAATTGGGTGATGGGCCTATTAGAGGCTTATTATATTATTCTACTTTTGCGTATGATTGAAATTTTCCACAATAAACAGTTCTGAGGAAAAAGATAACTTAATGGAATGAATATGTGACAGAAATTACATCAGTAAGAATAAAATATGTAAGTAGGTAAATCCTTTTGTATATAAACATCTATAAAAGTTTTTGTTTAAAAATCACAGCTTTTGCCCTGGCTGGTATAAATTGAGCACTGGCCTGTGAACTTAAAGGTCACAGGTTCGATTCCTGGTTAGGGCACATGCCTGGGTTTTGGGCCAGGTCCCCAGTTGGAGGTTTGGGCCGGTACAAGAGGCAACAGTGTATCTTTTACATCATTGTTTCTCTTTCTCCCTTCCCCTCTCTCTAAAAATAGATAAAACCTTTAAAAATTTTAAAAAAAAATCACGACTTTTAAATAAACAAGACAGTTCTTAGTTTTCTTGTTATAAATCTTCAGTATAAAATACTGAGGAACAAATTTAAATAAGTTAGAAAAAAATAACATGCCAAAAACAAATTCAAAACACCCCGATGCTTTACATTTTTTTCTTCATAATGAAAATCACCAAATTTTCTTCCTGCTCTAACATTATTAAAAACAAACTAAAACCTCAGTGCTGTCTTTATTGTGCCAACTTCTAAAAGATTTATAACCTCCATAAAAAGGATAGAAACAAACAAAAAAAGCCTGACCATTATTAATTTCACAATTGCCTGTTTGTTAGGCACACGGTAAACTGTTAGAGAAAATGGCAAATCAGTCATAATTTACAAAGGAGATTCTTTTTTTCATGTGTAACAAACTTCACTGATGCACTGGGTGTAACTAAAAGGAATTAAAACACAGAAGGAGAAAAGAAACCCTAAATATGTCTAGTCCAAGAGAAAAGAAAGAAAAAAGTAAACTCTTCTCAAAAGATTTCCTAGAAGGCACAGTCTCGTTCTGAGGAAAAATGTTGCGTTTTCCATTATTAGCTTCAAGTTTTAAGCTAATAAAGTTCCAGTTGTAACTACAACTGGAAAATATGACTAAATATATTGAAGAGAAACTGTTATCTTTCTTCCCAGTTATGTCCCAAAATAAAAGAAAAAGCAAACAATAATGAGATCAATTGACTAATTACTCATCGGTAACTCACCTTCAGGAAACATGAATCGAATTTCTCTTTCTGCTGTGGCAAAATCAATACTCCCATGAAGGGCATTCCTTAGGTCATCTGTGCCATAAATTGCCCTTAGGCTGAAAGCAAATTAGAGATGATGACCATCCAATCTGACATCTTTTATCTTATTTTTTACATATGCATTCTACTTAGGTATTTTACAAAAGCTTTGGCCACTTCTTACATATGGAGGTTGTAAGCTTGAATTTAAGCTTCAATCTGTCTAGATGAGAGTCAAATATATTTAAATCTGCAGGAAGGATACACTGGGAAAATAGAAATTTTCTGGATGAAAAAGAGGTGTTTTGTGAAAAGTGAAAAAGCAATATATATTTCAAAGTGTAAGAATTCAATGTCCTCTGGTTTCCAGACATTAGTGAGAATGCCAAAAATCTGGATTTCTGGTCCTGTACTATCAATATTCTTTTTAAATGACACCCCAATTTTCCTATGAGAAATCCTACTTCAGTGGCAGTTTAATCCCAGGATGAGAGAGTAAGGTTAGTCAACCGTAAAGCAGACATTCCCTGAGGCCTTTTGTGGTATTTGGTATTAAGATAGACATTTAAATAGTTAAAGCATAAATTGGACTACTCTGCCACCAAAAAACAAAAAAACAGTTAAATTTAGGAAAATTTTCAAATGAAAGGAAATTCCTATTACAATGAAATCAGATTTATTTTCATTTTCATATTCGTATTGCATTATTCCCCTAGAAAAGTTACCTGTCTGGGTGTGTCTCCTTAGCTACTAAGCTATTACTTGGTCCCAAAAGTTCTTTCCAGTAGGAGATGGCTTTATGTCTAGCTAATATCATGGCAACAAGTGGTCCAGAACTCATGTAAGCCGTTAAATTGGGGAAAAACATTTTCCCATACTGTTCCACATAAAAGTTACTACATTGCTCAGGGCTGAAATGTAGTTTTCTTCTCTATAAGAGAAATAAAGTCAACAAAAACATTTAAAATGACAGTTCAATATCTCATTAAGTCATTAACAATTTGAAATTAATACCAATCTTGTTATACATGAGATTTACTCTTGTCTTATGAAGAAAGGGTGAGGTAAGAAAATTAAATATAGACTATAAATAAAATTGTAAGAATTAATTAATCTACTTAAGAAAAACTTCTCCTGTTTAGCAGCCTCCAACATAGGGTTTGTTAATGACAAATGCATCCTATATCTCCTTCTTAAAGTGAAAACACTCCAATCATCAGTATTTTTTGATGTATACTTTATATACATTAAAGTAATAAAATTGGATGTTAGAATATTGCAATTCATTTTTCTACATTATTTTAGGGAGCTGGCCCACTGTGGTACTTAGAAATAACATGCAGTATAATAATGCAGTAAACAAGTTTTTCACTTGAATGTGAAAGCTGTGTGTTCTTTATTATGTTTCTACCACAAATATGTTGATTCACTGTGACCTTAAGAAAAATTAGTTGTCATTGCTTATTAGTTTGAAAGAATATAAGATGTTTAGGATAATAAACGTTAGTTTCTTTACAAATGAAAGAGCATACAAATGAATCCTTAAATTTAAAAAACCATAGAAGCTGAGTCAGTCATTCTTCCAATTGGAAAGTATCATGGTTTCCCCAAAAGCAAGTATTTGTGAATTTATAAAAAATTATACATTACTGCCCTGGCTGGTGTAGCTCAGTGGATTGAGCACGGGCCTGCGAACCAGACAATCGCGGTTCGATTCCCAGTCAGGGCACATGCCTGGGTTGCAGACCAGTTCCCTGCAGGCCAGTTCCCAGTAGGGGACCCAGGAAGGGCAACCATACATTGATGTTTCTCTCCCTCTCTCCTTCCCTTCCCCTCTAAAGATAAATAAATAAAATCTTTAAAAAAAATCCTATGGCATAATTAATAAAAATATTTTTAAAAAAATTATACATTACTACTGTTTTTCAGTTCCACTAAAGATGGATCATGAGAAAAAAGGATCAAAATATCACAAGGGATTCAAAGAAAGACCTGCCTGGAGTAAGGATGATGACACATAGAGATAAGTCTCAAGATAAAGGCTAAAAATCTCTACGATCAAGATAAAAATCACCCTGGCTAGGTAGCTCAGTTGGTTAGGGCATTGTCCAGATCCATTAAGGTCGCAGGTTCAATTTCTCGTCAGGGCACATACAAGAAGCTAACAATGAATGCATAAACAAGTGGAACAAATACATGTTTCTCTCTCTCAAAAAAAAAAAGGCAGAAGTCCATCTTTATAAAATGGGTTATATTTTGCTGAGAGTACAGTGTGAATGCTACCGAGTGACCTACCTTTTAAAACTCCTTCCAAAACTATCATGTGTCTTCAGGTTTCAGAAACTTGGTAAAACTGCTTGGTTTGCAGCAAGAAACCTAAACTGCCCAGAACCAAAAAGCTTGGGAATATGCTTACTTACATTGGTCAGCACTGCATGAACAGGTTTGACTAGACAAGCATAACATTCTCATCAGTGAAGGACCAGTTACTATAAAAAAAAGTTTCAGCATCTGTTCTCATGTTGAAATTCATATAGTCAAGAAATACCAGAAATTTGAGAAGTTGCAAAAGCACTTGATTTAGTACAATCCTTGATTCTATTATTTAAAATTAAAACATGACAATATTTGTGATTCTTATACATATTGGTGTGGGCTTTTTGTTGTTGTTGCTGGCTTAAAAATTAAAAATCTCTTCTGTTACAATGTAAGTAAGCCCTTAACTGTCACCTGGCACCTTAAACAGAGGATGTTTCCTTCTGAGGTGTGCTAGCTAATGTGGCACAATTATAAAAACTAAAGGCTCTTCTTTTTTTTTTTATAATTTTAGTGGGTTTTTTAAAAAGATTTTATTTATTTATCTTTAGAGGGGAAGGAGAGAGGGAGAGAAATATCAATGTATGGTTGCTTTTCGTTCGTCCCCTGATGGGAACTAGCCTGCAGAGAACCAGCCTGCAACTCAGGCATGTGCCTGACTGGGAATCAAACCACGATCCTCTGGTTTGCAGGCCTGTGCTCAATCCACTGTGCTACACCAGCCAGGGCTAAAGGCTCTTCTTAAACTAATGTTGATACTGAATTAATTATTCCATTTGGTTACTTAAAAGTTAGATCTGGCAAAATTTTTTGGGATTTGGATGAATATTTTCACAAAGAGAAGCAATGATATTAAATGTCACAAAGGAATTATTAGCTTGTAGAAAAGGAAAGACTGCCACCTACTGAAAGGACAGATCATTTTTCAGATTTTCCCTAGATAGGACAATAAAGCCTCTAGTTAAATGAACCCCTAACTTCAATAAAGCCTACTTTGAAAGCCTACAGGTGGGGCAAAATAGGTTACAATCATAAAACTTAGACTTCCGCCAACATGGAGGCATAGGTGGAGATGCCGTGCTTTCTCACACAACCAAGTTGAGAGACAACAAAATATTAGCAACAGAAAACACAGCTGGAACACAGAAAATCGAACTTTTTGGAAGTCTGATAACAACAAATTCTTCAGCCTGACCGGTAAGAGGGGCGAAGCCAGCAGCTGGCAGAGCGGGGTTGCACAGGAAAACTCGGTCAGACGGATTCAGGTGCGCGGATCCCAGGCGTGCAGTTGCAAAGAGCGGACCCAGTGAGTGACTCAGTGAGCGACCAGTGTACCCAGCGATGGTGCAGGGCGGTGGGTTGACTGTGATCCCGCATTTGTGTGCAGATAGACCAACGAGAGAGTGGGTGGTGAGATGACGGGACCGAGCAGGCCCCAGCGGCGAGAGGCAACAGAGGGGGCCGCCATTTCCCCGCTCTGACCCCGCCCCCATATTTGGCGTCACAACCCAGCAACCTGGGCAGCCCCACCCTGGTAAACACCTAAGGCTCCGCTCCTCATAATTTACGGGCGCAAACAGACCAAAAATGGCTCAAGAAGATCTCAAAGCCCCAGAGCCCATAAATCTAAGCGACAAAGAAATAGCAAAACTTTCAGATGCACAGTTCAAAACACTGGTGATCAGGATGCTCACAGAACTGGTTGATTTTAGTCACAAACTAGAGGAACATATGAAGGCTAAACTCATTGAAATGAATGGTAATGCACAGGAAACCAATAGTAATGGAAAGGAAACTGGGATGCAAATCAAGGAAGTAGACCAAAAGGAAGGAAAAAATGACCAAACAGAAAAGAATGAAGAAACAAGAATTCAAAAAAATGAGGAGAGGCTTAGGAACCTCCAGGACATCTTTAAACATTCCAACATTCGAATTACAGGGGTACCAGAAGGGGAAGAGGAACAGCCACAAGTGGAAACCTTATTTGAACATATAATAAAAGAGAACTTCCCCATTCTGGCAAAGGAAATAGACTTCCAGGAAATCCAGGAAGCTCAGAGAGTCCCAAAGAAGTTGGACCCAAGAAGGAACACACCAACGCACATCATCATTATATTAGCCAAGATGAAAATGAAGGAGAGAATCCTAGAAGCAGCAAGAGATAAGGGGACAGTCACCTACAAAGGAGTTCCCATCAGACTGTCAGCGGATTTCTCAAAAGAGATCTTGCAGGCAAGAAGGGGCTGGAAAGAAGTATTCCAAGTCATGAAATCCAAAGACCTACAACCAAGATTGCTCTATCCAGCAAAACTTTCATTTAGAATGGAAGGACAGATAAAGTGCTTCTCAGATAAGATCAAATTCAAGGAGTTCATTATCGCCAAGCCCTTATTATATGAAATGTTAAAGGGACTTACCTAAGAAAAAGAAGATAAAAAAGATGAACACTGAAAGATCAGCAAAGTCACAGTTATCAACAACCACACCTAAAACAAAAGCAAATTAAGAGGACAGCTAGATCAGGAGTGAACCATAGAAATGAAGATCATGTGGAGGATTAGCAACAGGAGAATGGGAGAAGAAGGGGGGAGAAGGTACAGAAAATAAGTAGCATAGACAGTAGATAGAAAATAGATAGGGGGAGGGTAAGAATAGTAGGGGAAATACAGAATCTAAAGAACTTGAGACACGTGTTCATGAACTAAAGGGTGGAATGGTGGAGGAGGGGTATGCAGGGTGGAGGGGAATGGAGGGGGGAATAGAACAAATGTAATGGCATAATCAATTAAAAAAGAGAATGAAATTAAAGGGTAATATACTTACATGGTTAAAAATTCAAAATGGTATTAAAAGGTATATACTAAAATATCTTATTCCCAGCAAGTCCTGTCCTAATGCATGCTGAACTTGCCCTCAACAGGTAATAATTAAAAAAAAATTTTTAAGTGTATTGACTTGAGACACATTGATTTGTTGTTCTATTTATTAATGCATTCACTGGTTGCTTCTTGTATGTGCCCTGACAAGAAATCAAACCTGCAACTTTGGTGTATCAGGATGACACTCTACCTCCAGCCGGAACAACAGGCAACCATTTTTTAAATGTTTATCTCCTAGAGCTTCATTTTGCAAATACTGGCAAACATAAATATATATTACTTCTTCTCTATCACAAAAGGTTGCTTACATATTGTTCTATATTTGCTTTTTTCCACAACAAGACCTACAGAGTTTCCTTATTCTTTTTTTTTTCAAGATTTTATTTATTTATCTTTAGAGGGGAAGGGAAGGAGAAAGGGAGAAATTACAATGTATGGTTGCCTCTCGTGCCTCTCCCATCGGGAACTGGCCCGCAACCCAGGCATGTGCCCTGACTGGGAATTGAACCGTGATCCTCTGGTTTGCAGGCCTGCACTCAATCCACTGAGCTACACCAGCCAGGGCCCTTATTCTCTCTCTTTTTTTTTTTTTTTTTTTTTACAATTAGTTGCATAGTATTCAATTTGGTGGATTTGCCAGGATTTATTAAACCAATCTTCTAAAAGCTTAGTTGTTTTCAATCTTTTGCTGTTAAATAAACAATAATGCAAAAAATAATTGTATAGCCCTGGCTGGTCTGGCTCAGTGGGCTGAGTGCCGGCCTGTGAAGCAAAGGGTCACTGGTTCGATTCCCAGTCAGGGCACATGCCTGGGTTGCAGGCCAGGTCCCGCATTTGGGGGCATGCGAAAAGCAGCCACATGTTGATGTTTCTCTCCTTCTCTTTCTCCCTCCCTTCCATTCTCTAAAAATAAATAAAATCTTAAAAAAAAAAGAAAAATAATAACTGTATATATATCACTTCCTATTAAAGTATGTAGTACATGTACTAATATGACATAGGATTGCTGAGTAAAAGGGTAAATAAACGCATCTGTAATATCAATACTTGCCAGATCCTCTACCACCAGGGTCATGCCATTTACCTTTATATTTTTGCCAGATGCTTTCTCAGTGCTATTTTAATTTGCTTTTTTTTTCTACTTAGAGATCAAGAATTTTTTTCATAAGTTCAAGAAGAATCTGTGTTCTTCTCCTGTGATCATCTACATGTTGTGCCCATTTCAACTGAATTTTTATCTTTTTCTAGGAGCTTTTTATATATTAGGGAGATTAGTCCTTTGTGATATGAGTTGAAAACCCTTTTTTCAAGTTTATCGTTTGTGTTTTGGCTTTGTATATGGTGTTTATTTGGCCATGCAGTTTTTTATGTTTATAGCCCTACCTGTTTTTTCTTTCATGGTTCCTAGACTTTAAGTCATAGTTTTAAAAAAAGAAAGAACAGCCCTGGCTGGTGTAGCTCAGTGGATTGAGCACGAGCCTGTGAAGCAAATGGTTGCCGGTTCGGTTCCCAGTCAGGGCACATGCCTGGGTTGCAGGCCAGGTCCCCAGCAGGGGACACATGAGAGGTGGCCACACATTGATGTTTCTCTCCAGCTCTTTCTCCTTCTCTTCCCCTCTCTCTAAAAATAAATAAAATAGTCTAAAAAAAAAAAGAAAGAAAGAAAAAAAGGCTCTTCCAATCAAAGAATGAAGAGATTCATTCATTTTTTCTTCTAGAATATATATGGTTTATTTCTTAAATATTTAACTTTCGGATCCATTTGCTGTTTATTCTGGTGTATACAGTATAATACTTGAATCCACCTTTTTAAAAAATGGCTACTTGGTTTTCCTAACATTTATTAAAAAGTCCACCTTTACCCGTCTCTTAATTACTATATGAAAGTATACTTCCTTATATTTTCCTATATTATTTCCTTATATTTTCTTCTACCATCCCTACCCTCAGTCTCCACCTATCCTAAATTCGACCCAAATGCCATTTCTTCCCTGAAGATTGAAATTTCCTCTTATTGTTTTAAAAGATTTTATTTAGAGAGAGGAGAAGTGAGGGAGAGAGTGAGAGAAACATCCATTTATCACCTGTCACATGCCCCCAACTGGGGACCTAGTCTGCAGGCCAGGCATGTGCCCTGATCAGAAATTGAACCAGCCAGTTTTCTGTTTGCAGACCGGCACTCAATCCACTGAGCCACACAAGCCAGGGTTCTCATTTTATTTTTTAAAACACTAACTAAATAGGCAGTAAGACACTGCATAAAAGTAAAACTGGGATTTAAAATAAGAATGCTACAAAAAAAGGAAGATTAAATGTATCCAATTCTATTTTATAATCTTTTAAAGAAGATTTTATTTATTTATTTCTAGACAGAGGATAAGGGAGGGGGAGAAAGAGAGGGGGAGAAACATCAATGTGTGGTTGTCTCTCAGGCACTCCCCACTGGGGCCCTGGCCCGCAATCCAGGTATGTGCCTTGACTGGGAATTGAACCTGTGACCCTTTGGTTCACAGGCTGATGCTCAAGCCACTGAGCCACACCAGCCAGGGCTATTTTATAATCTTTAACAACGCTCTTTTTACATTTATTTTCAAACTTGTACTAACTGCAGAGTAAATATAAGGCTTAAAACATTAAATATTTGTAATAATTGAAAAAATACCAACAGTCTCAAAGTCCATCAATAGAAGACCAAGTAAATAAGTTGTGGTTCATCCATGCAGGGGATATTACACCAAAGTTATAAAGAATGAGCTTAGATTCAGATGTAATAATCTGGAATGCTGCCGAGGGACTTTATAAAGATGATCAAGGGAGAGGGACTCACTTATTTTATTTGGGGGTGGGGTGGGAATGCACAAAAAAGTCCTAGAAGAACAGAGAATTTTAAGTGGTTGCCTCTCTCTGGAGACTAGGACTTGGGATGGGAGAGGCAGTAAAAGAATTTTACTTCTCATTTTATATATGTGAAGTATGAAAAAAACTTTTTAAAGCTATCACATATAACTTTCATAGTCAGAAGAATAAACCTAAATTTAATGCTAAATAAATGCTATGGACCTAAATAGATTAACACATTTACATAAACAAAAAGAAAGGAACAGTGAGAGAAAAGAACACCATCATCTTGCCCAGGAATTACCTGAACAATGGTGAATCCAGATCTGATAATAATATCTTGTATCTCCTCCTCTTTGTCAACAATATCTGGTTTGATAATGGCCAGAGTTTTTTCTACATATATCTGAGGTGGGGTCATCGATATTTCCATTCTCGATTTCTGAGGTACAATTGAAGAGATTCTTGACAGGTATCAACTGCAATGACATGACGGTCATCCCCCCACCCCAATTAAGTGTAATTGTGATTAAGAACATCATTTATTAGGCGTTTAACTTTATTAATTCATAAAGTTAGAAAGTACTACCTTTTTCTGTAAGTAGTGTCTCAATACAGATATACTTGGGAGTATTGCAGGTTGTCTCGAGTGTTGCAATAAAGGGAGTAGTAATATTTTTGCTGGTGGAGGGCCTTGCCTTCAGTTTGTAAAACATGCAAAACCTGTGAAGCACGGAAAGCTAAGTGCAATAAAACGAGATATGCCTGTCATATGGTTTCCCCTTGACGTCTGTACCTTGGGATTTCCTAAACACTGTCAACGAGGTGGAGAGGATAGCGGGCTGTCCGATGGCCTGGGACCCACACACTCTCGGAACACCTGCCAAGAGACCAGGCGGGCAACTCTCTGCGGTACTCCGTGGCAGATGGGGCGGCCCCGGCCCACCTGCACTGAGCATAGGGCCAGGTCTGTTTGGAAAAGCAGGATCCCTAGGTCCCCTCAAGCCCTCCTGGGTGCACCGGAAGATTCCAAGTCCAAGGCTGGTCCAGCCACTCACCTTAGCACTCACTCCTCCGGTGCAACAGCAGCTTGTTGCTAGGAAACCCCAAACCCAGCTTAGAGACGGTGGCTGCAGAGGGCCAATCTCAGCAGCGCGCTTCACAGCCCCTGGTAGTCTCCTTGTAAGCGAGAAAAGGAGCCAGCCACAGGCATTATTTTCCTCTTATGAATCTTACTGCACTAGTCATCCTCTTCATCATTTATCTTATTTCATCCTCCTACTCATTTGAAGTACACTTCAAAATTATAATTTTATAAGTGATGAGATAAATCATAAACACTTCATCCCAACCCATCCCCCTTCCATGTCAAATACCTTCCTCATTTCACCAGATGATGCTGTCCCCTCTATTCCCAGCTTCTGCGATCAATAAACACCAATCTTCGACTTGTGAAGTAACATTTATTTATGGAACAGTAATAAGAGGTTTAGTCCAGTTACCTCTAAATTAAGCCTATGGAACAAAGACATGGGCAACATTTATGGCATTATCCCAATCTCGGTTTGCCCCTTTTTCTTTACATTACGTCCACAGGCACCTCTGACTCCTTGGTTGTGAGTCAGGTATTATGATTATCAGAAAACAGAACAGAGAAGTGGTAAACAAATACTGGGATCTTCTCTGGGTCAGAGTCTCAATGAGAGGTCCAAGTTCCAGAAAAGGCCAGGGCAGCAACTCCATGTTAACAAAACAGGCTTTCCACCATGCACTGGGTTGGCTGGTTCTCATTCCAGACTATTTAAGTTTCTTCTTTTGTGAAACCAAATACTCAGCACCTACAGGGTCAAGGCAGATAACAAGCTATGAATCTTAAAAGCTACTGAGGTTTGAATGCATTTTCATTTCTTTTTCCACAGTGATATTTGACTATCCTTTTTTCTTTAAAATACCATGTTACCCAGAAAATAAACCCTCGCATGTTTTCTTCTGGCTACCATATCTTATCCCCTGTAACATACATTACATGAGACAGTTGGCAACATACATTAAAATGTACAGTGACTCCAGCCTCTGGTTTGCATGGAGCCCTCTGGTTCGAGGCTCTGAAAGCAGGAGCCCCCATTACCATCGCAGCTCTCTTGAGAGCTCTTCAGTTCTGTCTGCCTTCCTAGACTACTTTCACCATTAAAACTGGTCCTACTGAGGCTCAGGGTTTTCCAAACCAGCAGGTGAAAAATATCAACCCTTGAATCACCTCTAAACATAAACTTTAGAAACACTTTCACATCACCCTTCTTCTCATAGCCTTTCTAAAATCATATGCCAGAAATTAACATCCCTTTTCTTGCAGCTTTCTACATACAGTACCTGAATCTGCTCCAGGACTTCTCGCTGCATCTCCACAGCCATGTGGTACACATGATGATCAGAGTCATTATACATCACAGCATTCTGAAACATCAGCATCAGGTCCCGCTGGAACTGTGCCACGGTGCAAATCCTTCCCTTAGACAGATTCCTTTTCAGGGTAGTTAAGTCCATGGGTCTACAAGTGGCCAAGAGAAACCAGAGGGAATCTAACCTTCATGTGGAACATGGGATAACATAACATGCTCTCTTGAAGAACTAACTAGCTCTTAATGAAAGTGGTGGTAAAGATAACAATCCCCATCCGATAGTAAAATAGCAACAGCAGTTAATATTTGACTGCCACTACTTAAAACAGGCCAAGACCTGTTAGGTACTTTCTGTATTAACTCAGTTAAATCTCCCAATAAACCTATAAGGTAGGTACCATTATTATCACCAATTGGCAATGAGCAAATTGAAATCTAAAGAGGTTAAGTACTTGCTCAAAGTCACACAGCTTGGATTCCAAATCAGAGGCAGCCTGACTTCTGAACCCACATGCCCAGCCACTATACTATGCATTGTAGGAGGTGTGCTGGCCCCGAGTACCAAAGTTGTAAAGAAGTCCAATGATCTGTTTGTCATATGTAGCTATTGGTTGACTGTTTACAATGTGTAGTCATATACTGGGTATTTAATCTACTTCTATTATTGCATAATCAAAAGCTAAGAATTTTTTTCTCCTTTCATAGAGATGAAAAGAATGAGAGTCAAGTGAATGTTAAAATGAATAAATTATTGAGACACTGAGAGTGGGTATATAAGAGAAGGCACAGCAGTGCAGAAAGAGGACTGAAGTGAGAGGTATAAATCTGGGGTTTAGTTCCAGCTCTGCTATTTACTGCTGACCACAGGCAAGTCAAGACTACCTCTGAGTCTTAGCTTCCTTATCTATAGAATGAAGGAGTTTGTCTCCAAAGGTCCTTTCCTGATCTTTTATTTTTTATACTCTATTAACACATTAGCTTATGACAGCATTTTAGGTGAAACATGCTATAAAAATAAAAAAATACTGCGCCCTGGATGAGTGGTTCAGTTGGTTGGAGCATTGTCCATACACCAAAAGGTTGCAGGTTCAATCCCTGTGGTCAGGGCACATACCTAGGTTACAGGTTAGATCCCTAGTCAGGATGTGAACGAGAGGCAACCGACTGATGTGTTCCCACACTGATGTGTCTCTTTCTCTCTCTCTCTTTTCCTCTCTCTAAAAATCAGTAAAAATATCCCTGGATGAAAACTTAAAAACAATCCAAAATATTGCAATCAACCAATGTGTGTAACATCATCTGGATTATTGTCTTTGCCTTAGTATATTTATACTGTCAGAATTAATACAGTGTTCCTTTTAAACTTTTGCTCCAAAAGAACAATGTAAAAAACTACTAAAGGCTAATGTAAGATCATAATAAATGGATCATATTACCTAAAACCTAACAATGAAAAAAGCCTATTTTATCCTTTTGCTCCCTTTAGTCATCCTCAAATAAAGACTGAGTTTACCATAATTTTACAAACTTGTTCAACTATAAAGTATACTTGAGTTTGTAAGTAAAATAAATGAAATAAATAATCTAACAGATGGGAAAGTATGAAAAGACAGATATAAAAGCAACCAACCTTTCTTGACCCCTTTTCCACTGACCTTTTCACCACATCCTTGTATCCTGGGGCCTGCCTTTCTGACACAGGCTTCAGAAATGGACTGCTGAACCTGTTAGGGGACAAATCCAGAAAGGATGAAGAAACTGTAGAAAGTCACTCTAAATGAGAAGAGTGGCTATGAATACCAAGAGTGGCTTGGAGACCTACCTGTGACTGGCAATCATCTTCCAGACTGGCAGGAGAGTCTTCTTAAATAATAAGTGATCCTGAACAGGGTCATTCTGGCTTAGATCAGACCTATGGTATAAAAAAGAACAGAAAAGAAACAGTAACTTCACAAATGGCATTCTATCTCCCCCAGGTGGTAATGAGATTTTCTCAAGACATAGTGGTCCTAGTTAATATCTGAAGGAATATAACACCGTAAGACTAAAACCATATTTAATGTTTCCATAAGGGACTCCAAACTCTATAAATATTCTCTTACTAATCACTATTAGTATCCCCATGAAGTCATTACCTTCTTATAAAGTATACTACAAACCTACAATTCCCTGTGCCTTTTGGTCTCTTGATGATTTGCTCTTCCGCACCTGTAACTCTAAAAAACTGGTCTCAGAACATAATCTGTTTACTGATGTTTCCCAAGTGCCTGGTACATAGTAAGTACTCAATTAAGAATCTGAGCCCGGCTGGTGTAGCTCAGTGGATTGAGTGCGGGCCTGCGAACCAGATATTCGCGGTTCGATTCCCAGTCAGGGCACATGCCTAGATTGCAGGCTGGTTCCCTGTAGGCCAGTTCCCAGCAGGGGATGCACGAAACGCAACCATACACTGATATTTCTCTCCCTCTCTCCTTCCCTTCCCCTCTAAAAGATAAATAAATAAAATCTTAAAAAAAAAAAAAGAATTTGATAAATGTGACAAATTTATCAAATTTGACCAATTTGATAAATTGGTCCTATTTTTATGTAGAAATATGCCACATTAATAAGTACCTCTCCCATGTTTCCAAAGAATATTTGGTTTCACATCCCAAAGAATTCTCACATTTTATTTGATTGCTATACAATTTAAATGTTTTTCCTTTTTGCTCCCCTCTATATAGTAATCCTTACAATACCTAAGAAAAATTAATTTTTTAGATAAAAATAAAGTTTATTTTTTAAAATAAAATGTATAGGTGAGATAAACTGTATAATTTATTTAGCTTTTCTTCAGAGATACAACTGTTCAATGTTTTATTTTTTTATAATGTTCCCGGTTAGCAAGCTTTCTATTTACTCCAAAGTTAAACATGTTACTCCAAATGAGTTCTCCTTACACCTAAGTTTTCACACCCTCATTTTACTTTATGTACCATATTGTTGTGCATCCATCTGAACCCAACTCATCTCATTTTATCTTTCTCCAATTTGAGCAGCTTCATGTTAACTATTCATTTTCATGATGCAATCAGTATCTCACCTGCATCTAAATTATATACCACAAAAATTAACTTATCCTTAAACAGAGAACCCTATTAGAAGAACAAGGCATTTAAAGCCCTGTAATATAAACCTCTTCCTGTTTCTTTTTTTCAATTTATTTATTTTTTATTGATTATGCCATTACAGTTGTTCTATTCCCCCTTCATTCCCCTCCACCCTACCCCCCCGTCCCCACCATTACCTCCCCTTTAGTTTATGACCATGTGTCTCAAGTTCTTTAGATTCTATATTTCCCATACTATTCTTGCCCCCCATCTATTTTTTATCTACTGTCTATGCTACTGCTTTTCTGTACCTTCTCCCCCCTTCTCCTCC